GAGGGGTTGGAATGATCCTTGCTGTAAAGATTTGTTCCCTTTTTTGAGCTACTACATCCATAAGTATAGATAAAGTTCATCAAATTGTAGTGGGTTACTCTTTTTTTCCTCTTCTTTCTTCTTCTAGTTGAGTTCTAATCAGCCATTGAAGCCAGGTCAAGTGGGTACTATCTGCAAGTATGGGTGTTCTTATGCATCTCCCCTCACTTCATATCAGCTATGTTCCATACCTCTTAATTCCACATTTCCATGCGCTTTTTGAAGTCTCCTGGTATATTTGGTCATCATCTTAAATTGAAATTCCCACCCCCCCTTTTTTTTGGATGACACGAATGTTTGAATTCTAGAAGCATTTGATTTTCATTTATCTTGGCTGAATCTTAAACTGCTGAACTTCAGAATTTGAAGTATAAACTTTCGGCATTTGATAAAGTCTATTATCTTGGCAGTTTTTTAAAAAGTATGTTTTATCTGGAGATTTATACAAAGTTTCATTTCTTCAAGGTGTTGACTTCAAGGTGAAAACAATATCAGTGGATGGAAATAAAGCTAAACTTGCAATATGGGTAAGAGTTTTAAAAATACATCTTTAATTAATAATAAGTGTATCTTTCAGGGAAGCAGAAGTTAATTGTGTAGTATTCCAGGGGTGAATGAATAATTTGTATTAAATAATTTTTGGTAGCTCTGATATTGATAAAAGGATAAAGCAAATCATTATACTTTACAATTGGGTGATTAAACAAAGGCGTGGTTTACTAAAAATATATGTTCTTTTCAGAATATTTTATAACAGAACAAAGTATAACAAATATCACCTATTTTAGAGAATCATTGTTACTGAATGTGTTTCTTTAAACTTTGAAAAAGACGTAAAGACATGTTGCTTAGTATAAATATTTATAAAATTTGAGTTTGCCAATTTAGGATTTATTTTTAATACTGAGATTCAGTCTTTCCCTAGTGGCTTTATTTCATTTCCCTGTGAAGCCAATTATTATCATAATTGCTCTGCTAGATTTCTTCATGTTAGGGTTGGATGAGGTATCAATAACTGTCAACAAAACTGCCAGGCCCAGAGACGTTCTAGCCAAGGTACTTAGTGTCTCTGTTTGTCCCTCTTTCCATCACTCCTGTTTATTATTTGTCTATCTAGTGTTTATTTGGAGTTCTGGTGCGGCACTTTGGGTTAATGTGCTGGATTGCAGAGTTGTTTGAACCTCAAGGTTGGTGGTTCAAGCTCACCAGCTGGTCCCTGGAAACCCTATACAGGGTCGCTATGGGTTGGAAATGACTCTACAGCACTTAACAACAATAAT